GAATCCACCTAGAATGCCTTTTAGAATCTCTTCTTATCCTTTTTGAATTTAGGTTTCTCCTCACCCTTCTCCTTGGTTAAGTGAGCTTTAAGTGTAGGATAATCAGCTTTAATGTGTCCCGGCTTCCTGCATTCAAAACAAATCATACATTAAAATTCTTAAAGTTTTTGCTACCCTTACCTTTATTCCACTTTTGGTGGTTCTTATGCTCTTCCTTAGAAAGCTTTTGAATTGCCTTATGATTAAGGCAACATCATTGCTTTCAGACCCAGAAGAGTGAGTGTCCGTGTAGTTGTCCTTCAGCGCCATAGTTTTCTCCTTCTTCTTCTCACCTGCATCATAGTTTCTTTGATTCACCCGTTGCTCATAAGTAATGAGTGATCCAAGTAAGTTATAAATCGAATAGGTATTTAAATATTTAGATTTAGAAATTGCAGTAATTTTAGCATCAAAGGAAGAAGGCAAACATCTCAAAATTTTATTAACCTTTTCATAATTTGTGAGTTCTCTTCCTAAAGCATGCAATGAGGTGATAATTTGAGTAAATCTAATATACATGTTAGAAATTGATTCATTAGGTTTCATATGAAAAAGTTCATAGTCATGCAATAAAATATTTATCCTTGATTGTTTGACTTCTTTGGTTCCTTCATAAGTGATACACAAATTATCTCAAATTTCTTTACCAGTAGCACAAGTTGAAACATGCATGTAATCTTTAGATTTTAAAGCACAGAAAAAATAGTTCAAATATTTCGCATTAAGTTGTGCTAAAACCCTATCATCAAGAGTCTATTCAGTGAAAGGAAGTGGATCGTCCCGAGCGATCTTGCGATCATCTAGGACGATATGATTATTCAATCAACCTTAATTGATTTTCTTAATTATCAAATTAATTTAGGCATAATTGTGCTGCATTGTCCAAGATGAAGTCTTGGATGATGTCAAAAAATAAAAGCTACCTAAATAAATCCAGCAATTGATTCTTTCTGATTTGAGCCTATTGTCCCGGCCGATATAAATATCATCTGCGCTTAATAATCTCTACCTTAACCAAGTTGTCCTAATTATGATTTTTATTTTTAATTGATCATCCAGGCCGATTTATGGATCGTCTCGGATGATGTGACCAAAAATAGTAAACTCTAAAAATAGTCAGAAATTTTCTCTCAAGTGTGTGTGTGCAAGTTTACTTAGCATCATAAAACACTTTATTTAAAATTGATGTAAGAGAAGGAAAAGATTACAAACTAATTAAGACCTAGTCTATCTAATCTTGAGCTGGTTCAAATTGTAGTTTTGATCTTGTGGACCTAAAAAGTTAGTAGGCAAGGCAGTCATAGAGAAACAGAAGTGTTTGCTATCATTAAAATTTTATTCCCTAAAATTAGATTCTCAACATATACTCTTCTATTTCTAGGGTCCTCTTATTAAAGATTCTATAGGCCTTACCTACAGATGAGTAACCTAAGAAGATAACTTTATAAGACTTGGGATCAAATTTTCCTAAGGGTGATTTTCTATTGATTAAGATGAAACATCTACATCCAAAGACATTCAAGTGAGAAAGGTTTGGAGTCCTACCCTTAAGGAGTTCATAAGATATCTTTTTTAAGTTTGGACCTAACATTCACCCTATTTAAAACATAATAAGCAATATTCACTACTTCTTCCCAAAAATACCTAGGGAGTGAATTCTCATCTAGCATTGCCCTAGTAGCTCCCACCAAGATTCTAGTTTTTCTTTAAGTTATTCCATTTTACTTGGGGGTTCTAGGGGGAGAAAAATTATGTTCAATTCCTATTTCTTGATAGAAGAATTCAAACTTGTCATTCTCATACTCTCCATCATGATCACTATGAATTGTTCAAATTTTACATCCTAATTTTATTTGAATCCAAGTGGAGAATGGTCTAAATTTCTCAAATAACTCACTCTTGTATGCTAAGAATCTAACCTAAGTAAATTAACACCATACAACCTGCCACCAGAGATGTGTATGACTACTCCGTTCATGTTCTTAACTCTGATTATACCTAGACCACATAATCCGAAGGCAAAGATTGATATCTATTTGCAACCATTAATTAATGGCCTCAAATTATTATGGGAAGAAGGAGTGCTCACATATGACATATCAATAAAACAAAATTTTCTCCTTCGAGCTGCTTTACTGTGGACTATCGGTGATTTTCCAGCTTATGGTATGTTGTCTGGTTGGAGCACAGCAGGAAAATTAGCATATCCTTACTGCATGGAGAACAGTAAAGCTTTCACATTAAAACATGGAGGGAAAAATACTTGGTTTGATTGTCATCGTATATTTCTAAATGCTAATCATCAATTCCGAAGAAATAAGGAAGCATTTGTTAAAAACAGAATTGAGCGATCACCTCCTCCACCAAGATTAAGTGGTGATGAGATACTCCAGAGACTTTCCAACATTCCAACAATTATTGAGTATCCAATGCTATCAGAATCTAAATTTCCGGGTTATGGTGTTCAACATAATTGGATTAAAAAAAGTATTTTCTGGACATTACCTTATTGGAGAACTAATTTGATAAGACATAACTTGGATGTTATGCACATTGAGAAGAACTTTCTGGATAATATTTTTAATACAATTATGGATGTTAAAGGCAAGAGTAAAGATAATGTCAAAGCAAGGATGGACATTAAAGAGTTTTGTCGGCGAAAAAATTTGGAGTTAGTAACAACAACTGACGGTAAACTAATGAAGCCCAAAGCTCCTTACTCTTTCACGTTAGAGCAAAAAAGAATGATATGTCAGTGGTTTAAAGGTTTAAAAATGCCGGATGGTTATGGATCAAATATAAGCCGATGTGTTGACTTGAAATCTGCAAGGTTATTTGGACTCAAAAGTCATGATTGTCACATAATTATGGAGGTTCTTCTTCCGATCATAGTCAGTATGTTACCCGATTACATATCAAATCCGTTGATTGAGCTTAGCATTTTCTTCAAAGATTTATGTTCATCTAAACTAAGTGAAAATGCTTTACGGAGGTACGAGGATAACATACCAATCATCCTATGCAAGTTAGAGAAGATATTTCCCCCGGGTTTTTTTGATTCTATGGAACATCTTCCAGTCCATCTACCTTACGAAGCTAGAGTTGGTGGACCTGTACAATATCGTTGGATGTATCCTTTCGAAAGGTAAATGTGTTAAGATTATTATTAATTACTCAAATTTTTTGAATCAGTTAAGATAACATATTTTTATTTGATTAATAGATATCTGAACAAGTTGAAGAAATATGTTAAGAATAAAGCACGACCAGAAGGATCGATATGTGAAGCATATTTATCTCAAGAAACAACACACTTTTGCTCCTACTATTTCGAGCCACATGTAAGGAGTACAAGAACAAAAATGGGTCGTAACATGGACTTCGATGTAGAAGAACAATCACATGCTACACTAACAGTATTTAGAAGGCAAGGAAAGCCTAGTGGCAAATGTGTTGAAAGATATCTCAACGATTTAGAAATAAATACAGCGAATTTGTATGTACTACTGAACTGTGAAGAAGTTGAGCCAATCTTAGAGTAAGTTCTTACATAATGTTAATAATAAATTAGTAATGTTTATTTAAAATACTTATGTATTATTTGTCAACAGGTATTTCGTAAGCAATTTGCCCTTGACAGATTCAAGGGAAATTGAGCAAGCTGTTGCAAATGAATTTCCAACTTGGTTCAGATCATATGTGAGTACATTTTTTTTTATAAATTTAAATCTTATTTATTATCAAAATTACTAAAATTTGAAAATATTTTTAGGTACAAAATCCTGATAACAAATGTTTCGATAAAGGTTTGCAAGCATTAGCATGGGGTCCAATGCGAAAAGTAAAAACTTGGCCAATATATATAGTGAATGGTTTCAGATTTCATACCAAATCGTGGAGTGAAGGAAGAAAAACTGAAAATTGTGGAGTATGTGTTAGAGGAAACACTCATGAAGAAGATGAGTGTGATTATTATGGTATTTTGAATGAGGTCCTTGACTTGGAGTACCCAGGGGAAGATGAGAACTTTGTATGCTTATTTAACTGTCAGTGGTATGATCCAGTACAAAATAGAGGCACAAGGGTTCATCCTGTGTATGGTTTAGTAGATGTTAAACATAGTAGAAGATACGGAAAGTTTGATCCATTTGTGTTAGCAAGCCAAGCTATTCAAGTTTATTTCAGCAAATATCCCAGTGGTCGCAGAGACAAACAAGATTGGCTAGCTGTCATAAAAACAAAAGCACGGGGAATAATTGATCAACAATACATTGTAGCAACTGCACATCAAGAGGATGAGATGTCAAGTTATATGCCTGTTGAAATTGAGGATATGCCAACTACAACCTCTATTATTGAAATGGAGTTAGAAGATGTCAATAGTTCAACTAGTTCAGAAGAAGAAGAGAACCAGGATGAAAGTGAAGATACTCTTGAGAGTGATGAAAATAGTTTTGATGATTCTGATTAGTTTCTGTAATTTAGAATTGTAGAATTTAAATGTTATGTAATTTTTATTACTGCTTAGAAATGATATTGTATTTTGCCACCTTGTCTTTTATTAACTGCTTCATTAACTGCTTTATTAACTGCTTCTCGTAATTCATTACCTGCTTCATTAACTGCTTCATTAACTGTTTTATTAACTGCTTTATTAACTGCTTTATTAACTGTTTTATTAACTGTTTCTTAATTATTTTTGTTTTAATATTGCAGATGGCTTCAGGCGACGATCCTCCTCGTAAATCATTTGCCTCAAAGTTCCGCCGGAAGAAGATTACGACTAGCAGAGTACCCACACAGACTGAGGTAGGTGAGGGGCCTTCAGTTGCACCAGATCTACCTACACCACCACCGCCACCACCTGCCAGGAGCCAGCAGCCTTCACCAGAGCAGGGTCAGGGACAGTTAGATCCACCTCTTGTTGCACCTCCATACTTCCCTGGCCACTTCCCTCCCAGCTCGACGAGTCCTCGCTTCCCCTCTCCAGATCAGACACATGCTTCTCCATTCTATCCATATTACCCCCCACCATCATCACAGGCTGCTGGTCCATCCACTGGTCCTCACCCTCCTTACCCTTACCCATATTACTACCCCTATCCGGTGCAGCATGAACAGGGTGGACCATCACGACCACCAGAGGTTGGCGCTACCGATCCTGCAACAGCAACAGATAAGCGTCAATACATCGAGCCTGACGGCGATAAGTAAGTTCAATTTAAGTTATTCAGTTGTTTTTATTTTGATATATTACATGTTATTGATAAACAAAGTCACTTGCAGCTTCAATCCTTCAAGGCCACCTATACATATGATCCGGGATATAATAAAGAATAAGTATGATGCTCCTTACTTATCCTGGAAGAAGATCCCAAAGCCTGTTAGAGATATGTGGTTTGGAGAATTTCAGGTATATTTTTTTTTGTATGATTTCAAATATATGATTTAATTTGTACTAATCTTTTTGATATTGCCTAAATTTGTACAGAAAGAATTTAGGTGGTTGCCTGAGTACAGCACGAGGATCAGATCTAATTTTGAGAGGAGAGGAGCGACCCGTCTCAGAGACATGTTCACGGACATTAGAAAGTCCGGGCAGAGGCCTAATTGGATTGGAGAGGGCGTTTGGGCAGATTTGAGTAGTGCTTGGGCTACCCCGGAGTTTATAAAAATGAGAGAGCAGAATAAACAGAACAGAGCCTCTGACTGCGGCGGTTTAGGAAGCTCTCTTCATACTGGTGGATCTGTACCTCATACAGAACATAGGCGGCGACTGGTAAGTGTTTTGAATTGGTTTATTACATATATTTATGTTAGTATAACTAAGCATCAAATTTTCAGAAAGCGCACCTGGGTCGGGAGCCAACACCATTGGAGCTGCATACAAGAACTCATCAACATCAAGCTGACCAGAAGTGGGTTGATGAGAAATCTAAGAAGGCTCATGTGAGTAAAATTTTTTGGATTTTTAGAATAAAAATTTATTTTAATAAAACTATTTGTAACTTGCAGGATGATTTCTTACGAGTTAGAGAAAGTAGGCAGTCCACTGGCGAGGGATCATCTTCTGGATCGGCCCATACTTCTGAGTATCAGACATGGTCAGAAGTTGTTGGTGGAAGACAGAGGGGGAGGGTATATGGCATGGGTTCACAAGCTTTTGCTATTGAGGGCAGTTCATACACCTCTGCATTCCATGATCCAAGTGGAGCTGAAGAATCTGTAAGTGAGAGGGTTGCAGCACTTACTAGAGAGATTGAAGAGATGAAAAGGGTTCAAGCTAGAGAGAATGAAGAAATGAGGAAGGCTCAGAATGAAATGCAAGCAGAGTTGCAATCCTACAGAGCTGGAAAACAAAGGAAGAAGGACCAACAGGAGCAGCCATCTGCAGACAGTGAGGATACCGATGATGATTAGATGTTTATTATGTTTGATGAATGTATTAATTAGAACTTGTAAACTTCTGAACTGGTGATTGTAGCATTATCATGAACTATCTTGTGAATTTGTGATTGTAATGTTGTGATGAATTTTGTATTTTCTGGTTGTGATGAATATAGCGGCGTGTTGCCCAACATATATATGCTTTTTCTGCAGGTTTAGACTTTAGGGTGAACCTCCCTCAAATAGAGGGGATGCTGTCAATTTTTTTTTTCAGGTGCTACAGGTTTCCGGCGGCTAACCGGCGGTTTGGCCGCCGGAAACTACGATACCGGACGGGTAAGATATAGCCGCCGGTGTTATTATTAAACCGCCGGTGAATACCGGCGGCTTACCGACGGTCACCGGCGGTTCTACGATGGACGCACGACGGTTTAAACCGTCGGTAATACCGACGGCTATAACCGCCGTCAACCGCCGGTAAGTTACCGGCGGTCTAACGGCGCCGTCCGGCGGTCTAATGAACCAGACGACGCCAGGTTTAACCGCCGGAAAACCGTCGGTAATGTGACCGGCGGCTTACCGGCGGTTTAAATACCGGCGGCCTAACCGCCGGCAAACCGACGGTTAAAATTCCGGTGGTCACCGGCGGTATTGGCCGCCGGAAAACCGCCGCAAAAATAAACCGCCGGTAAAAGGCCGTCGGAATTTGTTTCCTACGCCGTTTTTACCGGCGGTCACTAAACCGCCGTTAGACCGCCGGTATTTTGTAAAACCGCCGGTAATCTTACACTAACCGCCGGAAAAAACCGCCGGTTTTCATTGTTTTTCCTGTAGTGAACTTAAAAATAGTCTCCACAAGAACTCTCTTGTTCTTGAAAACATTCCCTTTCACCTTCACATACATATCATGATAAACATGCTTATCAATTTTATTATTCTCTCTGTATTTCTTCAACAAACGCCTGAGTACTCTCATCTTCCTCATCCACAAGACCTTGGTGGGGAGTCTGGCTTCCATGGTACCCTTTCTCTTACCATATCCAGAATGTCTTCCCTTGCGCTTGGCCTCTGCGAAGCGTCTGGACCGAGATCTTGAGTGAATCTTCTCTGGTTTCTTGATAATGAAACCTTCATGAACAAGTTTTCTGATATTTTGGCGAGAGTTGGCGAAGGAGATGTGGTTAAGTTCTTTGGGATCGAGCCAGATTTTGCCTTTGCCGCAGTTGAGAAGGCTTGCGGCCAGCCGTTTGTGCAGCTTAAGAGAGGCCGCCATGGATTCTGAGGTAAGCAATAGGTGGAAGATAGAATGAGAGAGATGAGAGTAGAGCTTGCATTGTGATATATTTAAGGGAGGGGGAAGGGGAGGATTGCTTGGAGCGCAAGTCTGAGAAGTTGTGAGCTCCAAGACTTTGATGGAGTCAAAACTTCATGGGATGGATTTTCTAATGAGATTAATAAGTTTTGGAGTCAACAATTGGATTTATTTTATGATTTTTGTAATATAAGTTTTGATTGGTTATGTATATTGAGTTTATTTTAGAAAAAAAAAATGATTTTAAAGTTCATCTGGATTAAGTTTTAATCTGAATATTTTGTGTATATAACTTCATTTTTAACCAAAAAAAAATATATTTTATGTATATTATTTCTCTTTTTATTGTAACATAATAGGAAAAAATGGGTTTTTGTGATAATTGCGTTTCACAACCGAGGTGAAATGCAAAAATACGATTTCATTTGCGGTTCGTTTGGACGTTCGCGGGAGCTACAAACGGGCAAATGACATTCAATTAGAGATACTCTAAATGACCTATTGCTTATTGATATATTTCAATGTCAACCTTACCCTTATGTTATTCGGATAATATAATCCAAATATAATAAAGCACAATCTTCAACTTTATAGATAAATCCCTGAATATTTTACAAGGATTTACTCGTTGTTTAATTTATCTTAACATTTCTATTTATGAATGGGAAGGCCTTAAATGCTTGCTTTTAAGAATGGGAAGGCCTCAAACTATCCTATATTATACTAGTATATTATTTTCATCCCCCGTGACAATTGATCACGGGAGGAATAGTAAGGAATGCAGGCGCGCGTGGGTTAGAAAGTGCGGGAGCAAGAGCTGGAGCAATGGATTGAAACTCACAATGAAGGCCGGGCACGAGAAGGAATAGGCTCGGTTTGACGGGTTTGCTCATAGAGTTAGTACAAGGAGCCGATCAGATCTCAACAGGCGCACATGTAGTTCTTTGGTCATAAAATCTGACCAAGGTGGAGATTATTGTGTATTTGTCCGATTTTAGATTATGTTGTTAAAATGGGGTATTGAAGGATAACTTTAGTTAAATGTGAAGACATTTAAAAATTAAGGTGAAAATAAAGTTGACTAACACCCCCGTAAGGGAAATTTTTTGTGGGCCAAATGTCAAAGCTTGTCACGTAGGACATTACGAGAGTGTCAACGATGCGGGTTTGAGCGAAGTTTTTGAAGATCATTGGAGGATTGCAGGTTGGCGGGTTGCATGAGATGGATGAACAGAACTAACTATGTTAGTGAGATCGATATACTTTTGTGATAAAGGTGGAACCCTTATTTTATGGTGAGGTGGATTTGCATGCGTGTTCTCAAGCTAAACTGTAGACCTGTCAATTTCGGGTCACAGGTCGGGTTCGAGTCGAACCTGAAACTGACCCGACCCTATTCGGTTCGTTTTAACCCAACTAATTTTTTTGCAAACGGGTCGATTTTTCGGATAGGAACCCGACCCGCTTCGGGTTGAATTTTTTTAGTTCCAGAAGGGTGCAGCGGCAGCGATGCCGGCAAGCAAACCGAGCGACGCGACGCTAGCGACTACGACGCGACGCGAGCGACGACGCTGCGATGTGACACAAGGGCAGGCGGGTGCAGAACAGCGGGGCAGCGGGCGCGGGGCAGCTGGGTTTCCGGGTCATTCCCGGGTCAATCTGAACCAGACCCGATTTTGCAAACGGGTCGATTTTTAGGACCTGAACCCGACCCGCTTTGGGTTTGGGTCAACCTAAACCCAAAATTTTCGGGTCGGGTTTTCGGATCGGATCCAATATTGACAGGTCTAAGCTGAAGAGCCCCAACTAGTTGTTGATCTTGATGGAGGTGGGTCCCTTTGCTTTGTGTTGGAGTTGGCTGCCATACCCCCAATAGGAGCTTAAATATTTTATTATGAGATTCCTCCATCTTACTACTAATGCAATTTTTTAAGGGTGATCATGATGTACCTTCATGAGTAGAGTTGAACTCATCAAGGAAGAAAATGGAAAAGCCTAACAACTTGGTTCAAAGATAGATCCTTGTAATCATGATCATTGGGACAAGAGGCTTCATTTTTTGCGAATACTATTCATGTTGGCCATCGAATTTATGCGCGTAGGGTTTACAATGGTGGTATTTTCTTCAAAAAATGATGTCAAACTGTTGTGTGCTAAGAAATTCATGGCATTAGAATGATATGGTTCCAAAATGATGCATTCTAGAAAATTTAAGGCATTAGAGTGGTAGAATTTTTGTGGCCTACTTTTGTAGGGAGATCTCACATACAAACTAATAAAAAGATTGTGAGACATCATAGATTTTATATAGAAAACTTGGGAAGGAAAAAACAAAGATACCTAGTCCAACAAAAATAAGAATTTACTCACCCTTCAATTAAAAAAAGATGAGATTAAAAGAGTAAGTGGTTGGTAGAAAATAACATTAAGTCAACAAGAAATGAGAGGCATTTGAACGTTGTAGCCAAATGAGGGTTTCTTTGAATTTATTTTAAAATATATCAAATTAATCAAGGTTTATATTACAATAATCTCAAAACCAGTTAAGCCAATTATTTGTTTTTTTTACAAAAAATCGAGGGAATCCTAACTCAAAATTTCCTTCTGTCTTGTGCAATTCTCCTAACATATATTCAGATCAATTTCATACGATCACATGACCAAAAACAAAATTTTAGCAGACCTTAGTAGAATAATGATGGGAAGAACCCTTAGGGCATTGGAAGACAAAAAAATTCCTTGATTGTGGTTCAGGTGGCGATGTTAAAGCTCTATATATAACTGGTTGTTACCAATCGAAAGAAGACAATAATCAATTGTTTGGTATAAGATGTTCAACTCTATAAATGAGATTTCACATTCTGTAAAAATGGTTTTAAGTTAATTTTCTCTTGCGCATGGCAAGACTCAAAGCTTTGGAGGATGCAACAGAAACAGGGGCTGGGCCAAGATATTGTCCATGAACTTGTGAAAACTCCAGAGAAAACAATAATTCAATTAACTCATCAACGATACTTCAGTAATTTAGAGAGAATAATTGAATAGAAGATATGGAAAACAAACAACTAGGGTGGAACAAATGAGAAATCACTGTAGAAAAAACGAAGAGTAAAGCAGCTGCCGGAGATTGGTGCAACTTCTAGCAGTATTGAGAAAAAAAAAAATCTAACTTTGTGCTTAAACTAATAATTCTTAAACGAAAATCAGTGCCTGAATTCCCGTAGAGACTAAAATCTTCATGCTCAGTAGCAGAAATTTATTATCGTCATCATCATCATCAGTCTTATTTAAATGCCAGAGCAAGCAGCTATGTAAGTTGCTTAGAATTCCTTCAGGAGAGACCGGACCTGCTCTAGGGTTACGAACAGGACAATGGTGAAAGGACCCTGACGAGAAACAGTAGGAATAAATCCCTTATAAAGAGCCATCGGCCCCTCCGCCTTCACCGTCTTCACCACACAGTCGATTGCCCCAGTGTAGGGAGGCGCCTTCCCTTTCTCAACCCTCATATTCATCACCCGCGTCTTAACCACATCCACCGGGTTTGATGCTACCGCCGCCACTAATCCCGCCGCGAAACTAGCCGCCACGTGCGTCGGCAATCCATCAGGTAACAATCTCCTCCCAATAATTGCCTCCTTGGCCTCATCATAAGTCGCCAGCTGCGAAGCCGTCACGATCATCGCCCTGTTCACTGTAAGCGCCGAGCCCCGCCAGAGAGACCCCAATCCTTCACTTCGTAACATCTGCCCTAGGGCATCAGCCACTCCTCGATAATTCCGGCGATCTGCAATCGGAAGCCGCCCGTCCGCCTGCATTCGCACCATCGCCACATCGGCGGGGTTACCAACCGCCGCACCCACCGCACCGGCTATTAAACCAGCCGCGATCTTCTTGTGTAGCGGTAGAGCCGCCGCCGTGCCTTCGGAAGACATTTTGGTCTTTAGGATGTCGTAGAGACCCATGCGGGTGGTGGAGTAGAGGGTTTGGCGGAGTATGGTGGCCGAGATTCCGGAGAAAAGAGCGGAAGGACCCTCAGCGCGAAGGATCTGAGCGCCAACGGACAGGAAACCAGGGCGGCGCAGGGACGGGTTGGAATGTGGGATCGCAATGGGGCTAGAGCCTGGGAAGGCTAGGGCAGGGCGGAGGGCGGGCGCCGCCGCCGCCGATTCGCCCTGCAGCTGCAATCGGACCTTGATGAGATCGAGCGGATGGGTGGAGCAGCCAGCGACGATGGAAGCGATGCCTCCCTCCACGAATCCCTTCAGACCCATTACTTCAGATCCGAACGAAACCGGTTACCAAAATTTTCAGTAACGAGAAAGATCTAAAGAGAGAGGATATTGGGGCAGCGAAGATGGGGGCGTGTTCTACCAATCAGAGCTAGGGTTCATCTCACTGGAGACGTGGAGATGGGAATGAAGGCCGAAAGCTATACAAGAGAAATGGGGAACGGCCGTTCTCTGAGACATGAAAGGCTTTCGATCTAATGGTTGATTTTCGAGATGGGGAAGAAGAGGCACAACGTAAGCTATTTATAGCAGAGGGGTGTTTCTCGTCCGCCGTAACAACCCTTCTAGGTTTTTTTTTTTTAAATTCCAAAATATAATATATAATTTTCTATTTAAGTAATAAAAAGTTTTAATTGGGCACAACTTCTTAAACAAAGGGGAGAATCCTAAACTAAATTTTAAAACTTGGGTAAGTTTATTTTTTAATTAAAAAATCCTAAATAAAAATTATATATATAAATGCTAAATCTTGAATAATAGATATCGCATTAAATTTTATTTATTTTATTTAAATGAAATATATATCCTTTTTTTTAATTAAACTATCAAAATACAATTAGTTGCTTTGAGTCGTCAAATAACATTTTAAATCCTATTTTTAAAATTATTTTCTTGATAAGAGAAATAAATAGTCAATTAAAAATCAGGTCCATCAAATTGTGGAAATTT